CCCCCCCCCCCCCCCCCCACATACACACTTCTTAAGGATCTTGTTCGGTCTCAAGAATTTAAAGCATCTCTAACACATAATGAGATGTATCTCTCCACTTCTAGGCTAAAAGTTTTTATAGTCTGACTCTTATTTTAAGGATTTTTTAAAGTTTACTTGAGAGAGGGGCGCCTGGGTGGCGCAGTCGGTTAAGCGTCCGACTTCAGCCAGGTCACGATCTCGCGGTCCGTGAGTTCGAGCCCCGCGTCGGGCTCAGGGCTGATGGCTCAGAGCCTGGAGCCTGTTTCCGATTCTGTGTCTCCCTCTCTCTCTCTGCCCCTCCCCCGTTCATGCTCTGTCTCTCTCTGTCCCAAAAATAAATAAATGTTGAAAAAAAAATTTTTTTTTTTAAATAAAGTTTACTTGAGAGAGAAAGCACAAGCAGGGAAGGGGCAAAGCAAGGGAGAGAGAATCCCAAGCAGGCTCCCCTCTGTCAGCGTATGGCCCGACACAGGGCTTGATCTCACAAACCATGAGATCATGACCTGAGCCGAAATCAAGAGTTGCACACTTAACTGACTGAACCACCCAGGCTTCCCTACAGTCTTACCCTTTCTATCTCCAGGATCCACCACAGGCTTGAACACACTGCAGGTAAAACACTTGCTAAATGAATACATTTTTCCATACAGAATGACCATACATTTTATATCCTTTTACTTCCCCTAACATCATTAGGCAGCAAAGATGACTGAAAAAAAAATTTGTAAATAGTAGAGGAGCGGAAGAACTCTGTTGGAAGTCCCTGAGCCGCCATCAGGTCTCAAGATCATGGATGGGCTGTAAGGCTCCTACGAAAATTCAAAGGGAAACCTCACTGACGTGGTGTTGGGAAGCCAGCAGGGGGAGCTCTCGCCCCCTACCTCTAGTGGTCATTGAAGACCCAACCGGAAGAGTCAGATCTTGTAAATCCTTCCTTTACTACCCCAGCAGGAGGAAAAAAGATTTTCTCCTCCTTAAGCAACAGCCCAGGGAATGAGACTGCCTCAACTTAGCCAATGGAAAGCCACTATACATTGAACTCCCAATTTATTCAATAGATAGTTTGCTTATAGGAGCCTTCCAACTCCCTCCATTCCTCTATGAAAGAGGTTCTCCTTCTCTGTTCTCCAGACTTGCCTATAGTTTTGCTATAGCTTTCTTGTCCCAAACTGCAATGCTCTGCTATTCCTGAATAAACCCATTTCTGCTGGTAAAATCACTGACAAGTTTTATTTTTAAGGCTAACGCTCCACAGTGTTGGCAGGAAACACATTCACTCCAGGAAAGAATTGTATTGTAGGAGAGAGAAAAAGATTCCTGACTCACCTGTAACACAGAGTGGATGTTTTCCACCTCTGTGACCCTCGCATGGGCATGAGCAGGGTCTAGAACAGGCAGAGATAAAAGACAAGGTGACATGGGAGTCTAGGCACATCCAATATTGTTGACACTCACGAGCCTAGAAATTGCCCCACATCAGTTGAGTCACCCCCCCACACACACACATTCACACACACAACACACACAAAGCATATTATCCAGAGCAACCTGCCCTGTCCCGCAGAGCCAGAAACTAGGGTGCCTTAATACCCATGAGGAATGGATTTAGTCTCAATTTTCCCAGGCACAGAAACTGAAACTCAGAAAGATGGGAGTTATCTTTCCCAACTTTACAGAACAAAAGGATGGGATAATGAAGTGCCACCCTTAAATATTCTTCCATCTCCCCAAGATTTACATTGTCTTTCCTCCAAAATCCCAAAGGGCACTGAATCATACATGAGCAAATTATGAGGCTCCAAGACTTTGTAGAGTTTCACACCACCTCCTCGCATTTCAGCCTTGCCTTCCCAGTTCTCCTCTGTGGCTACTCAGCTCCCTGCTTCTGTACCCACCTGGGGTGGAGAGACCACGTAATTCTAGTGAAGAGCATCTATCCTGGGAACTTACCAAATCCAGAAGACAGATGTGTGGCTGCCATTTTGCAAGTCTTTGAATAAACATGCCCAGGATGCTTTTTCTTGCATCTATGGTCCACTGCAGTCAGGGCTCTGAAATAAAGAAACATTAACAAAAGAATCTGTAAACTTGCAATTTGATCCTGGGTCTTTGTTTTCCTTGCCTTGGACAACCTCAAAGCAATATGGTAGGGGTTCGTGATCTTCCTCATCCCTAAGGCAAATCTACCCTATTATCAAACCACATTACCCATCATTTGTCAAAAATCCCATCTCCGTTGAGCAACTATACTGGTTTGTCATCTGCAATGGCACCAACACATAGACCTGACTCGTTAAAGTCATCGGCACCTGACTCCTACTCTTTGACTCTCTTCCTTGATTCAAGAGGATTCTATGTTCTTGGGCATAAACTAGGTACCT